CGTCAGGAAATAGTGGACCTCTGATGACTAACGGGTGCACGATGCCTCACTGTCAGACTCTCAGGTGTCTATTGTGTTCGTTCTTATTATTGATTATTTTTTTCCAACTGCGTTTCCTGCTAACGGATCCTGCATTTCGTGGATGTGTTAATGTTTCCTGTTCTCTTTATTCGCAAAATTTTAGGAAGGAACTTTTTTTCGTGTCATGCGTATTCTTCTGGTGGAAACAATCCTTCAGACGTTGCTTGTCACGGATATTGGATAGAAACGATATCCTTAAACAGTGGTAGTGTGAAGTAATGATAGTATTTTCTCTCAGTTTGAGAATTTTTAGGGAGTCATGAAACCTACAAGAGTATATTGTATATTGGTTGTTGAGACCTAATGAATTAAGAGATACATCTGTATTCAATAATTTTGTGCCGTCTACATGTGACAAGCGAAACCGCGATGGACGGCGAACACAAATTTGTGTCTGGCACTGTATGGCGTCATGCAGGGCGTAGCAATTATTTAGGTCTCTAATTTTGTAAACAGGGTCATTTGAATAAACAAAGCTGGAGATTCATTTCTGCCCAGCCGCTGTTGTCGTGTTATGGTGGAGAACATATGAGTTTCACCATCAAACCACTCAACAAGACTTAAAGGTAGGCGCGTCTTACGAAGCCACTCTCGACTAGCTTCGTTTCCTAATGAGTGGTTTTCAAAAATGGAAGAACTTGCATGTTTGGATGCAAATAGCATTTTATACCAACATTTCTTGTTGTTCTCCCAGTTGGAGCTACGTATTTAGGAGAGGTTGTGGTCCGAGATGAACTATCTGGCTCCTGGCGATTTTACATCTCTAGGTGTTAAAAGACTGTAATTCTCGCGTGTTGGATAGAAGTTCAAAGTGTATCTCGGTGCTCACTGTGTTGGTATGATCCGCCATCATAATCTGCATATCGGGTGATAAACGGAAACAGAGGCATGAGAATTGAGATTAGTTGCCTTAGAGTTTGGTGACTCTTTTGCATTTGAGAACCAGTAGGAGCTCTGACTGCACATACAGGTTTAGGGGAAGATAATCACTATAATCCTGGGGGAGGGGAGGCTGAAGGGTATGTATTGAGTCAAACGACGTCAGGTAAGGGTGGTCTCCATAGGCCCCCACCATCAGACCCGCTATTCTGAGTTAAGTGTTTCTGCATCATCTTAGTCCATCACTACTTTACCCGTACCATATGCTGTCACTGCTTCCTCCCCCTTAGCCTCTACTGTCTTTGTTTACCGTACCAATACGGCTGGGATGTAGGAGGGCAGAGATATTTTCACCATCGTCGGACAGCCGGTGTTATCCACAGTCTCTGATGTGCTGTATCTTCGCGTATCCAAAGGCCTCAGCCATTCTTAAGCTTCTCACAGATATTGGTGGTTTCTATGAGCCTCCACCATCTTGTGTTGTCAAGCCGTTTTTGTAGTTTGAATTATCTCACGACCTGCCGCCGATACTCTTGTAACATATACCACCATGAAATTTATTTTAAAGAAACTTCTTTCCCTTTTGTTAGTCGCAGTGTTGCCTGCAGAAGCCTATGAACACTGCGCGTTCGATTTAGTATTATAGAGTGTAGGTACTCGGGGAGTCGGTCTACAAGAAATGCCTAAAGTGAAATAAAGGTCATAACAGCAAATTCAAAGCCTGAAGCAAACGCGATCGACCTCATAAAGATCCGTCGTTTGTCCGTTTTTGAACCACTTACTAGCGTAACTGTCCGTGGAACATCTCTTACTCCTCAGATTTCGGATTCTCACTTGTGATGATGTTATTGCGCATCCCAGCATTTTCCCAGCCACTGCGGTATACTTTACGGCCTCTCCAAGCAAGCTTGTAGACAGGAGTGGCCCCATGCCACACTGTGGGCAGATTTACCAGAACCACGTGCTCATTTTACGCACCGTGAAGGTGTAGTATTTGTCCTGCACTTGCTTGTCACATTGGCAGTGTACCCACTTCTTGCGAATGTTACACTCGAAAGCCACGCCCCCATTGTCTACGAATAGGCCAAATGCATGGCAATTCTCACAAGGGCTGCAGGGTTCGTCTGGGAACCTTCCTGAAATCCTCTGTCGTTCCACCCCGTTAACTTCCACAGACAGGCCGGAGCCTGGGCCGAGTTTGTCGGTTGGACATGCATTTCGACGAATGATGGTTTGTGGATTCGTAGAGCTGCTTGAGACAGTGATTTAACTGTTTCCCGAAAACGTTATTCGTGGCCGTTCTCTTGTGGCGAACCTATTAACCGTCACTTCGGTTTTGCACCGCTTGCCTCCGGTCCAATTGCCACTGAGGTAGAAGAGGCCAATGACTGAGATGAGGATTCAGTTGGGCTGCTCTTGGGAAGTGATTCACCTAAACCACTTCTGCTACTCATTTCGATTGTTGGTTAACGGGAAAAAGCAAGTTAAAGGTGCTTAACCCAAGTAGGAGGTAGAAAAACTGTGTTAGCTAAAGTAAGTTGTCAGCTTTAATTCTGATTGTCCAGTCGTGCGACTAGACTGGTCCTAAAAGCTTCCCGAGAGCCCAGGGCATATGACCAGGTAAAATATATGATGCTGCAGATGCAGCAACCTGAACCATGGCGGTTGACCAAGACAGCAGGACCTGTCACACAGCTGTCCGCCTGGAGAGTTTTGGTTTTGACCAGTTGAGGATTGTTTGTTCTGCAGAAAACATTTTTGTGGAACTGTTAGTTTCAGAGGCGTTACATCCGATTTCATAGGTGTCCATACGGTTATTTTCATGAAGAATGAAAACGAGGTAAAAATGTCGGTCGAGAAACGGTCGAGCGAAGCGAATAAAGAGCGAAGTAATAAATGAGAGTCAGGAGGACAGCGTAATTATGATAAACCCTAAATGTAGAAGAAAAATACAGTGAAATAGAGGATTTGCCCTAATAGCATTTGAAAGCAGGTGTTAAGGGACAGGAAAAGGAGAGGATGAAAGTGTAATCCAACATCCACCATCATTAGTGCGTGCATAGGTGGCCGATAGCCTTTGATCATACGCACCTTACTCTTGAGACCTGGTTTTTGTTGTTCGGCTTTCCACTGGTAGTTGTCATGAAAGTCTCTCCTGCTTTCTTGCTTTTAGTTTCGGTGGGGTAGGCGTTCTCCTTGGACTTATATTTGCAACCCGCATAAATAGTTGATTAAGGAACCACAGGTTTCTGGGATTGTGTGACGTCTTCTGTAATTCTTGTCTATAGAGGTATGTGAGCGGAAATGGCAGAATAAGAGGCGAAGAGCATAAGGGTCATTTACGGAGGGCAGAAACAGGTAGGGTGAGTGCTGTTACTGGGGTAAAGTCAGGAGAGAGATTGGAGGGATTGAAAAAGACAAAGCAAGTAGTAAATCAGTTGAAGACACTATTAGTTAACGAACATCCGATGTGGTCAGTGGTTAAAACTTCGACCTGAAGAAATGCAAGGTGATGTATCTTTGCGTACCAGAGGCGATGAAAATCAGCCACACCATTAACAAGTATGTAATCACCAGGGTACCCACAGAGAAGGACCTGGGACTAAACTTTTCTGGCACACTGGATGCCATTGGTATTTATAAGGAAATGGCAGCAAAGGCGGACGCCATTAAGCACTTTCTAAGAAGGCGACTTGGATTGTTAACCTCAGAGTTATTCCTCGTGGCATTCAAAAGTTACTTTAGACCACACCCAGAAGTGTCCAACACGACAGCCCCTCCCCACTACTAAAGAGGAAAGGAAATACTCTCCTGAAAGTACAGATAAGAGCGATAAGGTCGGTTGCTGGACTAACAGTCAAAACATATGCGCAACGCCTCAGACAACTCAACTTGTTCACGCCAAGCCATCGAAGAAAACGAGGTGACCTGACAACAGCCTACAAGATCATTCACAAAGCGGACCACCCAAATAGGACAACATTATAGGTCCAAAACCGACAATCCCGTGGGAACCCCACTCACATACCCCACCATAGGGCAAAGACTAGAGTGAGACCTAACTTCTCCCATAGAGTATGTGCCTTATGGAACGCGCTGCCGAACGAACTGGCCACAGCTACATCAGTCAACTCCTTCAAACGACTGCTGGGTGAGTATGTGAGCGCAAATGGCTGACCATGAACATTTGTTAGTAGCAACCGATGATACGCCCTTCCATCCCTGTATTCCCAAACCCTAGTATCTGCAGTAAGACGCACCTATCCTCTATATTATTTCCAGTCACATTTATCTCTTCAAAAGTACTTTTCACTTCTTCTTTTCTCACTCCCCACTCATCCCGTTTTCACCACTATTTAAGTAACGCTTAACATTTACTTGCAGGTGCTTACAACAACAGGAATTGCAAACGGTTGATTGATCTTGTCAGCAGCCCCGTTCCCCCCCTAAACAAACCATGCTACAATTCGCAAATAAAACACCTTCAAACAGACAAACACTACCTCCAAAGCTACAAGTAGGAAAACGCAAAGACTTCTGCGACCGTCGAAGGAGTACGACCGACCAAAGGAAGCAAGCCTCAAGACCTAGAAGGGAGGGCTCAAGAACTAAAAGTTTCATGTAAAACCAGCCCGACCAATTGTCTGCTGGCACGACATTTGAGGAACCCATCTGCACCACAGTCCTCGGAAGAAAAAGCAAACAAACAAACAACACCCAACCGCTCATCGGGCCAACCAGAGCTACAGCAGTCGAGTGGGTAGACCTACTACATTGGAATCCACCAAAGACCTGGAACCGTTCCGCAAGACTTAGAAGCGAGCGCGAAGAAATCAACTGGTTTACACTAGCTGGTTAAAAGATATTGGATATTGGATACTACTGATGTCGAATGTTGCATGTTGGATATTGGAATAAATAAGAAAACCAATAAACAAAAGTTAAGCCATGTGTTCTGGGGTAGAGAGATCAGTAACTATCAGTCTCTAGAATTCACACTATTGGTGGTGAATATTGTTTTACTATATCATTATAGTTACCTCCAACGTGATCCCCAACATGTGGGCAGACGATTTCCCATCAGGTGTATCCAAAATTTGTAGATCATGTACAAAACCATTTATAACACCATGAAAAGGAGGCCAAAAGTGCCAATGTTTTGGATATGTTTCATAACCACAACCACCGGATTCATATGTAGTTTCTTCGCAATGATTTTGCCTTTTTGGTATACTAGATATCCTCAGTCTCAAAATCGTTTTGTGAGGTTGGGTCTATGGGAGATATGTTTTGAAGGCTACATGTCAAAAGAAGTAGGAAATCACATGTATTTTGGGTGTTTCTACCTGTTTGATGGGAAGATGCTCCCTTTATGGTCAATCATCTTCAGAGGTATGAGGCGTGTTTTTAACCAAACCTTCCTATTTTGAAGCTTGGTTCATTGCTTGTCAAACATCCTACACCTGCAGCTTTTTGACATACATCCTAGCCCAGTGCACTATATTGACTCAAGCTGTAAGGTTGGTCTCTTTCCGCGGCTCGCGCGCTGTCTTGTGCACAATGGTGACTTTGTCACTTAACTGTAAGTTCAAGCTCTTATATAACCATTTTTGAATGATTTATGCTTTATAGTTTGTGTTGGAAACGAAGTAAGAGCAATACATTTTATCGTGGTATGTTACAATCGCTCTTTTACGGTCTTCCGAACTTTTCAAGCAAAATCTAGAATTGCTTATCTGCAACTTCGAACCAAGCCATAGGAACTAGACATAAGAGATCAGCAACTATCAGTTTTCTGCGCTTGCACTATCAATATTTGAAATTGGGACGTCCAAGAAAGCGTTATTCGTGAATAATGTTTCTGTTTAAGGCATGAAATTCTGTCACATGGAATCATTGAGAAGAACTAAGCAAAGGGAAGTAACGCTTTTGCGATTGGATATAAAGAAGTGCAACTCGATGTACATTCAGGTTTTGGTTAGAAGACGGATGACCGTATTTCTTTTTAGTGGACTTTCGTGCATGCTCAGTCGTCTTTTGTGTGAAAAAACTCAGGATGTAGATACTTCTTTTGTAAGTTGTTTCCACGGGTTTTACTACTCGGCACGAAATTCGATACTGTACAATGACGAGGTTCGTCCTTAGCTTTTGCATTCCACTGAAATGTTCCCTGAAGCGTTCCTAACCAAGAAAATTAGCATGAGATAGTTTGGGTCTATATTTGTTGTTTAGCATTCTGGAAAACACTGAAATTTGTCCTGTTTACTACGCAATGAAGAGAAGATGTCTAACTTATCTTTTATGCAAGATCAGTCGTTATGCAGAGCATATGAATGGGTGTAGTCATCTTGAAACGCGTAACTTAGTTTCTTAGAAATTTGTTATGCATGTTGTTCCAGGAGCTCTTACGCTGCTCTCTGTTCGCTTCTCCTAGAACTAGTAGAAAAAAATGGAGAGGCGTCTAATATATGATATGGCCCCGTGGATGGTTATGTTGGGTTGAAACTTGCATTTTCCTAACAGCTCTTCGGGTTGGATCTGAAATATCGCTCAAATCAGGGAATTGAGATGATTGTGAACACAGCTTGGAATATAAACCACTGGCCACCATTTTCCAGCTTCCTCATTTCTTTTACTGCTGAATAGAGCGACAAAAGTAGAGATTGCTTCTATGTTTTCATTCTCCCATCCGTTTCCTATCTTCATAATGTCGGTTTGTTATTTCCTTTGACGCCTTTCTTAGTGCCAATATCGTACCAAGTTTGTATTATAATTATCCTGCTATTATAAACTACAATGAGTTGGAAATACAAAGACAATTGCAAACTCATTATCGTCAAGATCAACATAAGACTAGACGTAATTGCGTAAGAGTTCAACTTGCCAGCCACAGCTCATATCAGCACGTCAAGTAACAAGGCAATAAAATGGAAAATGAAGGAACAAGAAAAATCACTCAAAAGAGATATAGAGTAATAAAAGAGAGAAAGAAAGAATGAGAAAGCGGTGAGATTTGATATAGCGTTAAGATGAAGATAATGTGTGTATACATCTGCACCACTGACATCGGTTGTGAGCCATATCACCTAGAGTCAGTCTCCAACCACTGGTTTCTCTTGTGTTGGGGACCCCAATCGGCTAGTGTGCATCGTTGCACATGGCTCAAACCAACAGTGAACGACTTCATACATTGGTGCTATGTTTTAATTTGGCCACCCTGACCCATTTTCCAGTGGAACCTACTTCGATGAACATTGTGCGACGAAGCAGACCCCAACAAGATATACTCAACACATGTCCCAGCTAGCCAGCTGGCCAGCCATCTCAGTCGATGAAGGTTCACAACTGCATCAAATAAATACTTTACCTCTACTGCCTAGAACTGTATGTCTGACTTCTGCGTTAATCATGTGGTGACATCACGGAATACGGCCTATGCTACGAAGGTAGTGTTGGTGAAACACCTGAATTCTTCTCATATTTTCCACCTTCAATGGTTATGTTTCACAGTGGTAGATTAGAACAGAGTGAACTGTAGCACAGAACACTTGACCCTTAATAGACAATTGGATATGAGGGCGGTGAGACAGGTGGCGTAAGTTGGTGGAAGTCAATCGAGCCTTTTGTATTTTTGGAGAGATTTCACGGGCCACTGAGCCACCAGGGTTGGTTTTACTTCCCAGGTAAGTGAAGTGGTAGGCACACTCAACCACTATACTATCTATTGTTATTCGGTGTACTGTTGAAGACCAGTCGTACCACTCAAAGGGTCCAGAGGGTTCTACATCTTGCCAGAGTCGTCACCTAACAGGACTACATCATCTATGTATTATAGGTCAAACAAAAATTCTCGTGTGACCAGGTAAATCCATGTGTAGTCACATGTAAGAGCGGGATCTCCATAAGAACATCGATGATAAAGTTGAATAAGAATGGAGAAAGTGGGCATTGTTGACGGACACCACTCGACGTACACAACTCACCAGACTGCAAAGTTTATTATCAGTTTCAGTTTCCCTCTCCTTATATACCTTTACTCAGTATCAAATTAAGTTATAGAAGACTGTGCTGAATGTTACCAGGAATAAATTTTTTTTCGTTTTTCATTATTTATATTATTCAGGAGCTGTCATCGAGGGTATTGAATTTTTAATCCACGATAAGGTAATTCATTTAGCTGATAGGTTAGCGGTATAAAATAAAAGTCTGGTTGTATTAGGGATGCATATATCCTTTATATTCTGTGCTTACAGTTTGTCTATATTTGAACTGTTTTTCTTCGCGTTCTTTTTCTCGTGTATGTGTCATATTTCATAACCAACCCGTTAGCGTTCTGCTTGGCTCCTGCTTCCTTAAATGTGCTAATTACTCCTTGCCTTTCAGGGTCACTGTAAACTTTATAAATAGGATCTGTTTTCACTAATTAATGTTTTCAGTCCGAGATACTGTCAGTTCAGCTGATTACTAGTCTTGATTTGTCTTTTCGAATCACTCGAGTTGAACCATCTCAAACCTTACTTGACTATCATCTAATAAACTAACACTCATCAAAATGCACCACGATAGTGAGCCTCCTAGTTTGGTGGCCATATTGTAAAAATGACCGACCGAATTCAGTCAGCACTCAAAACCAGACAACATGAGATTGGTTGTCCTCCAGTAACCAGTCAGTGCAAACCTAACTTTTCTTATGACCTTGTCCACTTGTAATTGTCTGGACCACATGATCCTGGGGATTCAGTCTTGAGTCTGACCTTGTACTTGATTGGTCTCATATCTGCCATTCGCCTATTTGATGAGTCATGCATTCTGATTCTGCCAGCCATATACAATAGAACACAAATTCTGGTGCTTATTCTTCTTACTCTATTTTTGTCAGCCTGAGCCATCCATCATCATCATCATCCTCAATATCAACATAGGACCAGGGATTACTGCCTCACGGGCCAACTTGTCACATCTCATATATCAGCACATCAAGTAAGAAAGCAGTGAGGTGCAAGATGAAGATAAGGAAATTCACTCAAAAGAGATATAAAGTAGTAAAGGAGAGAAAGGAAGAGTGATAAAATGGTGAGATTCGGTATAGCGTTAAGACGAAGATAATGTATGTATACATCTGCACCACTGATATCGTTTGTGAGCCATATCACCTAGAGTCAGTCTCCAACCACTGTTTTCTCTTGTGTTGGGGACCCCAATCGGCTAGTGTGCATCGCTGCACATGGCTCAAATCAGCAGTCGAACACTTGGTACATTGATGTTATGTTTCGGTCTGGCCGCCTCGAGCCGTTTTCCAGCCTGAATCTACTTCAGGCAACATTGTGTGACGAGGCAATCGAGACTAGGTAAACGTACCACGTGTCCCAGCCAGTCATCTCAGTCAATGAGGGTTGACAGGTGTATCAACTGACTTACCTCTTCTCCCTAGGACTCTACGTCTGATTTCTGCGTTAATCACGTGGTGACATCATGAAACATGTCCTATGCTACGAAGGTAGTGTTGGTGAGACACCTGAATTCTTCTCATATTTTCCACCTTCAATGGTCATGTTTCACAGTCGTACAGTAGAGCCGACCGGACTGCTGTGCAGTACACGCCCCCTAATAGACAGTCGGATATTAGGGCGGCGCCATGTGTGGCGCAAGTTGGCAAAAGTCAGCCGAGTATTTCTTATCCGTACAGAGATGTCATCGGCCACTGAGCCACCAGGGCTGATTCTACTTCCCAGGTAAGTGAAGCGGTATACGCACTTCATCACTTCACTGTTTACTTTTAGTCAAGGCACCGTTGAAGACCAATCCTGGAGCAACAGTTTCAAATTGGGTGGTGAGAAAGGCATCTCAGCCATCTTCATGTAAACAACTAAACTACTTGGCTACTACGCACCATAATTTATAAAAATGTAACAACCAATTACATTCATGCATAGAAAATGAGGTAATAAACGCAATACGTGATATCAGTGAATACATGATTATTTACTAACTTTAAGTCATACAAACATGAGTAAGGAGTCGATTGAAAGCTGCTGAAATGAGCTATACAATGATACTACTAATTAAGTCATAAGTAACGTGACTTTTGCAATAGATAAAATTGATGGAGTCTAGCTGAGATTCACGTTTTCCCCTTTTCGGTTGAGAAAACAACTTTAGTCTCCTCTCATCCAGTCTGTTAGTTAGTTTTGTATTGAATGGAGAATAAACGTAACAGTACATTTTCTCTTCTAGGTTAAAGTTATCTCACATGAATGCTTGTCATATCCTTGTTTAGTAGTAAAATATGAAGTTTATCTAATTTCTCTTTTAGGTATTTTGACTTTAGTTAGTCTAATAACAATGGGTGTAGGTGTGGATACAGAGCAGAAGATTGAGAAGTCTGTGAAGAATCCTTGGTTAGAAGATCTTGGTCAAAACTCATTATCTTGGTCATATGGTTTGGCTGCAGTTTCAATCTTTCCTAGTTGGCTTACAGTAATACTCTTAGGATGGTTTGTTTATCCTAAAAGGTAAGCATTAATATATATATATATATATATATATATATATATATATAATGCGAGTAGTTTATTCATGGATTGGGCATACACTGAGAAGGCCGACTGGGGACACCACGCGCCAGGCCCCCGAGTGGAACCCCAATGAGAAGCAACGAGTTGGGCGTCCCAGCTAAGGGTGACATGGAGGAGATCGTGCCAGGAGGAAATGAGAGCTTCTGGGCTGTCATGGAGCCAGGTTCAAAAGATTTCAGAGAACAGAGTGTACTGGAGACGTGCTACTGAAGCCCTATGATCTATCAGGAACCCAAGGGACAAATAATAATACTAATAATATTAATTTTATTCATGTTTGTAGTTTCACTTTGGTATTCAGGATCCGGTTATTTGACCTTTGTTAGCAGATGGTCCCTTGTGTGGATACCTCGATACTGCCTGCTTATTCGTTATGTTGACAACTTGCTTGATGGTAGCTAGTAGTGGTATTCTGGACACACGTTTTGTCCTATTGGATGAGTCTCAGTGGGAATAACACCATTCACTGAGGTACAGGTTAGTTCAGGTGACGAGTGAGTTTTGAATAGGATGAAATACGCATCTCAGGTCCCACTCTTAACTAACGCCAAGTAAGTTATAACAACGCAACTTTCTTGAAACACCAGTAAGTCATCCAGTAGACCATTAACTCATGTTAGCTGTCTGTTTTTCACCGATCTATTGGCTGTTCTTAGTACAACTTGCTACTTCCTGAAATAGTCGATCGTCATTTTCGTGTACAGTTGACAAGTTAACTTTGTTTCATTTACATTTATATTAGATCTCCTTGTGGACTGTTATCAATCTCAGCTTGGGAATGGCCAACACTTGATGACTTACAATGTCGTTATCATATAAAAGATTTGCAAACACCTAAAATATCAGCATTTTCAAATCCTCAATCATCATGTTGTATCACAGGATCCGGTGATCATTCATACCCCTATCTGTCTCGTCGGTCAGAAATCACATCCAATTTGACTGCGATTAACCAATCGATAGAATCAAATAATAATAATAATAATATTCTTCGTAAGCCAAAATTATTCCATAAATCACGTGTTCAACCGGAATCTTCAGCTATGATAAGACAGGATCAAGGTTCTCTATCAGATATTGGTGGTAAATTAAGCAGTTATGATCCACGTTCAGCTGATACTGTATCAGTAAGTTGAGTCTTACATTATTACATATTTCTATGTAGTTTGGGCCGTATAGGAAAAATCTTTTCTTAAGTAACCTGAAAGAAGTGGGAAACTGTAAACCAGTGCTTGAATACCGAAGACGTTCATTATGAGACATGAAGGTCCTGGAGTTCGATTCCTGGCTAGGTGGAGTTCTGGCTACATATTATTGAAACAGCTGTCCAGCGATCTTAGATTTTACTGTAATTCTTCAACTGGCTTGAATACTATATTAAAAAGCATATTTCTATGTTCAGTCAGAATTTTTTTTATGATCTGAAGTGGAATTTGTGTACATCAAAGTCTCGATTCTGTACGGCTTTATCCGAACTGGGCAATGAACTACACTAATACGTCACTAGGCCGAAAGTTAACTAGCCAACCTAATTAGTCTCATGTGTGTTACTTTAAAAGCAGCATCATATTCTAGGTAAAATAAGTGGTTTAGTTGTCAAAGAAAAATGGTCAGTCAGGTAAACCAGCGATATTGATGTCTTCAGACACAAACTAACCATCGAACGCCACGATATCCGGTTTCCTTGATGATCACATGTTGAACCAGATCAAGTTTGCGATGGAGGATTTTTGAAGTTAAAACTGTTGGTTAGATTGAGGTAATTGGTAGAAAGCCATACAGGAGGTTAATTGCGGTTTGAATAGTTCATTGGTAACGTCTTTGACTGCACTACAGGGTAACACAAATTCGAATCTCACGCGGAACATCTATTCTATCGATTGCCAGTGCATCACGATGATGACCAGTAGTACGACCTAACATTCTACAAGGGATATGAGCTTAGCAAACTACGAACGATACGAATCTAACGCACAAACGAATCGACTCTGACGCAAATCAGGACGTCAACCACCACCACAACAACAACAATACCACCGACACGCGAAGACAAGAAGAGGAGACAGACCGTTGACAGAGAGCTTTTTACCGTCTCAACAAGAGTCAAAAACAGTTGAGAGAGATGCTGAATATATACATATCTAAATGACCTTAATAACTTTAAATCCACATATAAGGTTAAAAGAGTTAACAACCAATGAGTGTTGAGCCTTGAAAGCAGAGGGAAGAAAAATTAGTAATGTGGAGTGAAAACAGGAATGATAAGTTATTTTAGGGTAATAGGTAAACATCAGGCAAAAGTTATGCAAAATTAGAGGTATATGGCAAAAACAAGCATATTCCAATGCTGAATAGAGTTTCGATAAACTTAAATTCTAAATTTATTGGTAAATTAGATACTGAGGGATAACTGAAGGCGAAATGAATCTCCCAATTCAAACCTAATGCTGACTTTGCACGTGATTGATCTTCAAGATATCTGCCCAATCTTGTATATTCAGTCTACTTACATTATGAGTTGAGTCATACAATTCAGCCCTTGCAACCACCGACAGTAGAACACAAAGCCAGATGTTTATTGTCTGATTCATCCATCGATATATAGTCAAATTTCTTGACCACAACGCACCATAATTTTATAAAAATCCAACAACCAATTACATTCATGAATGGAAAATGAGATAATATGTACTATAATTGACATCAGTGAATGCGTGACTATTTAAGAAGTATAAGTTATACAAAAGATGAGGATGAGGAGTGAATCAAAAGCTTTTCCTCTCTACTTTTTGGCTTGTATAATACTGACCTAGAACTCTACCAACTTATATTGATTTAACTAACTAGTAGGAGAATGAGTGTATCACTATGAAAATATTTCTAGAAGGTGAATTCAATGAGAAAAAAAAAACACTACTATAAGAGAATCATACTTCAGTCTGCTTGTTATAGTTGATTAGTTCTTGGTTAGTATTGAAAGGAAAGAAATGTTTACATTCAAAATTGAAATTGAAATGAAATAAGCGATTAATGAGCCTTGGAAATAATTGAATTCGTTGGTAATCTCTGTGAATTAACTGGTCTCAGAGCAGCTTTCATCATATACACTCTTCTTTTCTTGGATTATCACTTTTTTTCTTCTTCTTCTTCTTTACTGTCTTTTCTTTAAACAGTTGTCATCGTATGAACAACTACCGTTCAACATGTTATATAATCAACCAAAATGTATAAAAATGGGAGAATTCACTTCAGTTATAAATTCTAATGTGTATAATTCTATCCATAATCATTCATTATCAAAATCAAACCGATTTAAATTATTATCATTATCATCAAGATGTAGAGATCAAAAATCTAACATTCAATGGTCATCTATAAAAGAGTGTACAGATGAACAACAACATAAACAACATCATTCTAAAACATATAGTCATCAAAAACCACTTAATTCGTATAACTTATTTACAATTGATCAACCTTCATTAAGTAATCCAGATACTTCAATATGGACTGAAAATGAAATATATAGCAAATCAATTGACTATAATACTGTGAGTTATTTTATTATCATAATTTAACATATGATTCTAGGAATAATTCATACAAGTAATAGTTTATACCTAACACATTTCGCCTTGTTTATAATTCTTCAGCATTTAAAAACATCTAGCGTAGAACCGAAATTCATTCGTACAGTTCGGTAGGTTCATCCATTATCCAAATCAACATACGATCAGGGATTTACTGCCTCATGGGTCAACTTGCCACATCTCATATATCAGCATACTAAGTAAAAAAGCAGTGAGGTGCATACATCTGCACCACTGACATCGGTTGTGAGCCATATCACCTAGAGTCAGTCTCCAACCACTGGTTTCTCTTGTGTTGGGGACCCCAATCGGCTAGTGTGCATCGTTGCACATGGCTCAAACCAACAGTGAACGACTTCATACATTGGTGCTATGTTTTAATTTGGCCACCCTGACCCATTTTCCAGTGGAACCTACTTCGATGAACATTGTGCGACGAAGCAGACCCCAACAAGATATACTCAACACATGTCCCAGCTAGCCAGCTGGCCAGCCATCTCAGTCGATGAAGGTTCACAACTGCATCAAATAAATACTTTACCTCTACTGCCTAGAACTGTATGTCTGACTTCTGCGTTAATCATGTGGTGACATCACGGAATACGGCCTATGCTACGAAGGTAGTGTTGGTGAAACACCTGAATTCTTCTCATATTTTCCACCTTCAATGGTTATGTTTCACAGTGGTAGATTAGAACAGAGTGAACTGTAGCACAGAACACTTGACCCTTAATAGACAATTGGATATGAGGGCGGTGAGACAGGTGGCGTAAGTTGGTGGAAGTCAATCGAGCCTTTTGTATTTTTGGAGAGATTTCACGGGCCACTGAGCCACCAGGGTTGGTTTTACTTCCCAGGTAAGTGAAGTGGTTAACACATTTTTAGCCAGGGCACCGTTGAAGACCAATCCTGGAGCAACAGTTTCAATTCGGTGGTGACAAATACATGTTAAACATTCTCGAATTGCCACTCATCGTCGAGAAGGCTGCATATTGTCAGGGTCTTCACCTAACAGGACTATGTCATCTATATATTCTAGGTCTAACGAAAATTGTGCCACGATTGGGTCAACCTCTGTGTGCGTAGTCAAATGACGAGCGGGAGACCTCTATAAGAATGTCTATGGTAAAATTAAATAAGAATGGAGATAATGGGCAGCCTTGACGGACACCATTCGATGAGTATAGCTCCCTAGACAACTCGCCATAGGCTCTAACAGGCCCACAAAAGTTCAAGTAGAGAGCCTTCAATAAGGTGATGTACTTACTAGGCACGCCTTTCAGTGAGAAACATTGCCATAAGACTTCTCGATCAACGGAGTCGAATGCCGCCTTCAGGTCGAGAAATACAGTTTTTGTCGGGCGTCTGTAAGCATGTGTATGTTCCAGGACTTGGCGCAGCGTGAATATTTGGTCGACACCCTGGCGGCCAGGTCTAAATCCTGCCTGGTTTTCTCTGGCTTGCTGTTCCTGAGCTCCACTCAGGCGTCGGAGAATTATAGAATCTAGGATTCTGGATACTATGTTCGTCAGGCTGATTCCTCTGTGGTTATCGCAAGAGGACTTCTCGCCTTTCTTGAAGAATGGGATAACCAGTAATTCAGACCAGTCAGAGGGGATCATATTTGATTCCCATATGCTAGTTAACACTTTCATTAACCTGAGTACCACCATTATTCTATACCCCAGGAGTTGATCCGTCTGGTCTTGCTGCCCTTTCTCTTTTCAAGCCATCTACAGCTTTCTCAACTTCTTCTAGTGTTGGGGAGCCTGTCTCAATGTTCCATTCAGGATCCGACTGGATACCGAACAATGGTGGCTGGAGGCCAGTTAAACTATTCCTCGAAGTGTTCTGCCCATCGTTGCAGTAGTCTTCCTTGCGAGTGAATCGCAGACCTGTCCTTCTCCGCTATGGTCTCGCTAACCCTTGTTGACGTTTTCCCCTCAGTTTCCTTAATAAGTCTAAATAACTGTCTACTATTACCAATCGCCTCTGCTTTTTCAATCTCTTTAACCTTCGCTGCTCATCACTGTTCATAGTTGATAGGTGGGGGGGGGGAGGGCTGTTCGAACCCATAACTCACTGATTGGTAGTTGACTCCCTAGACGAATGAGTCGCAGCCCCACTGGGCAGTTATCAAACTGCAGGCATATAGTGAAATAATTATCTCAGTCTGTCTTTGAATTTTTAAGCTTGAGTGATGTAACTAGATAGATGGTTTTAGTTGGTGTCTTAATTTAGCTGCTCACTAACATTATCATCATCATGACAGCACTGTGTTATCTGTAAATTTTAGTCAAATAATCTTTGTAGGTTTTGTTCACCGGATAGTAGTAGAATCCAGGAGGTATGTTTCCTACTGTTTGTTTTGGCTTATCGGCTGCATATACCTGTTCTCCAGTGAATTATATTGTATTCAGTGAAACTTGAAACTAGTACATATCGCTACAAACACTAAAAAAGCGTTATCCACTGGGTCACATAGGTACGACAGTCACCTATTGTCCAATGGGTATCACTCTTTAATTCAATATTTGAGTAGCTTTTTTTCAAGATCATTTATTCACCATAAAGTTTACTTCGTCAACGCATACTTGGTAGGATGGAGGCAAGAAGTTCAAGTAGACAAAATTAAAGAGTTTAAGAAAAGAAAGATAATTCTTGGCAAGCGCTGAATAAAGGTCAAGTGTTTTCGGGAAAACGCTTGACGTGGTGGTGATAATGTTAATAATAATGATAATGACGGTAATAATAATAGTAACGATTATAAGAATAACAGTAATAAAAATGATAACGATAACAATCGTAATAATTACTGTTGTGGACGAGTGGAGTTGCAGACGTGGGTGTAGTGATACAGAGACTCAATAGACACCTCAACTGAATTGTTTTACGACTGACCTCCTTCAGTACCTTCTGCTTCACTGAGCCGCGAAGAAATCGGGAGACAAAGACGGCCTGTGAACTGCAAGAGGCAAATACATGACGTATATGTATTTACAAAACTCTCAGGAAGTGAAGCCATAAATGAACCAATCCAATTTGTTGTATGAGGTCGAATTTCTCCAATCAGGTTCTCATGTCAGCGCATGCATAAATCATGATCTGAACATGACTTGAAAACAACTCCCTATTGGCTGCCTCTTGTCCCTACGTATCACCTCCCTCCGTAAAATTGTATGACTTCTTCCTAGGATCTGTTTGAAATCTTCCTAATCTTTTTCTTTGTGTCGAACTGACCTTCGAGTGGGGATGCATTGAGTGCTATCTGATGCTTTTGGCTGCGGGAGATTAAAAGTATCCATTAAAACTTCTAGCGTCAAGTTTTGCTTCTTTTTGTCGTCTATGTTGACTGCACTTAGTATCTGATTCATGTGTCTGGTCCATATCTATCCTTCTACATTCATGCCCCGCTGTCTATCTTGATGATAGCTACATTATACAGAGTTCGATTAGTACTCAAGCCTATATCAATCATGAGATTAGTTGGTCTCCAGTGATCATGCAAATTAAGCGTATACTAGATTAAGTTGGGGATCAAGTCTACTTTGAAATATAGTAATAGTTGTGTTGTCAGTTTATTAGATGACTATAATTTCACTTGACTTATGATTATTTTTTCAAATGTTATATAGTTTCCTATCTGTAAGTTTTTTTTTACGGATAAAGTGTTAAATTTTGTATAGTTTCCCATAGTTTATCGTTTGTTGTGTGTTTTCAGCTGCGATTAGATTTTTCAGCATAATCTTTGTGTCTTACTTCTTTTTTTTTATCATATGTCCTTTGGGTTCCTAGTGGAACATAAAGAGCTTAAGTACCAAGTCGCTATTTCATTCTATTCTCTGCAGTCTTTTTAACCCGGCTCTACAACTGCCCAGAAGCTTTCATTTCTTTGTCACACGATCTATTCTATGTCACCCTCGGACTCACATCTCGTCGTTTCCCATTTGGGTTCCACTCGACGGCCTGACGCGTGATGTCCTCAGATCGTCTTCTCAGTGTATGTCCAACCCAATCCATCTCCACTTTCCTTTTCTGCATATTTGTTGGTCGATAGGTTGTTAGTTGGTTCGTTGCCAAGCCACAGGTCCTTGTTGCTGCTTATTCTTTCTGGCTATCTTCAGCGTAGGCAGAAGCTGTTGATATATGTCTCCAGTTTGTTGGAAATGGTTTTCGTAATGCGCCAAGTCTCTCAACCATCACATGGAAGCACTGACTTGACTGAAATTAGTGTTGAAAATCCGGATATTGTTCTTTATGATGATTGCAGTGCAGTACAGTAGATCTTCATACTGATTTCAGGATAATGAGGGCCTGTTTTGCTTTTCCCATCCTGGCTTTGACATCCTCATTTGTGCCGCCGCCTGTAATTGAGACCATGCTGCCTAAGTAGGTGAAGGAGACAGTTTCTTTGACATTTTTCCCGTTAGTGGTGCTTGTTGTTGTTGTTTTTGATGGTGGTTGGGTATCTTCATCACGTCTGTCTTTTTCACATTCACCTGGAGAAAGTCCCGTCTTTGCTGCCCTGCCTCTTCTGTCAACTTGTTAGTTTTCGCCTGTAGATCTTAAAGTTCCTGTGACATAAGATATTAGACATAAATCATCATCGGCGAAATCCGGATCTTCTAGGGTCTTTTCATCGGTTCAGCGTATGCCCATCTCGTTCCTAGTAGTTCGTTGTATGATCCAGTCCAGTCGACCACCATCAGGAAGATCATCGGTGATAGTAGGCAACCTTGTCAACCTGTCTTCTCTTCAAAGGCATTCCTGATCATTCCATTGCGAGTCACTTGACATATAGCTGCTGTTCAGTGAGGTTGATAAAGGTTTGTGGCACTAAAGGCATAGTGTTGAAGCATCTGCCAAATTACTTTGCAACTGACGCTGCTGAAGGCCTTTCAAAGTCTATGAAGTTGAGGTAAGGAGTTGAATGCCATATCTTTGGGTCGTGGTGGATTACT